ATCATGACATCAATATTAGCTACCTCATTTGACTTAACTGACTCCAATAAAGTGCTAGGAATCGCACGTTGAAAGGTGAGACCTTATTAATCCTAAGCTCTTCATAAGTTTCTATTTTTGGGGGTTGTCGTTCATATGAGGGCGACAGCCGGTTAACAGAAAAATCGATTTTAACAGATCAAAATGACCATTTCATTAACATCGATTTCTTTCTTGTAAATTAAAAGCTATCGAATTGTTTTCTTTACTACCAAATGTGAGAAAATAATTCCATAATGGACATTAATTCAAAAGTTCATCAACATGAAATATTATAGTGTGTCTGTTGATGTTTGATGATTGTTATTTCTGTATATTTTAATGAATCAGGCTTCTGCTAATGAAATATTTTACTTCNGAGAAACATACCCCATTAGGGGATGAATTTACACATATAGTGAAAATTTCAGAAAAAAGTACTATCCTAATTGAATTGGTATTCATTGATTCCCATGAAATAATATCAATTTTAACTGGACTGCTAATCAATCAGAATGTATCAATATATGTGAAAGATTTGAATTGCTTATTTCTGAAACAGCCACTGTATATTTTTGCAGTACTTGCAACATCAAAACACAAAGCGTTCGGAAATCCGGGTATTCTTTAGCACATTCGTAGGAAATGGTTGTTTTTATAGTCTATCAGATAAGCTGCTTTTCAGTTTTTGGTGTTTGTATATTTTCAAAGAGATATACCTTCAGGGTTTTCACAACTTAAATTGACATAAAAAGCTTTTATTTTTTCATTTTCTTCATACTAGCCCTTCATCATGCTCAGTAATAATTGAACAAGTTTGGAGAGGATACTCAAATATCCTGAAAATACAAGTAGGGTCTTGTTATATCACTAAATCAAAAAACTGATTGTAACTAGTAACTACCTCATTCATTATCTCCAAAATTATGGTATATTGATGTATCTTTCATATCTTTTGTTTTCGAAAATTGTGAAAAAACAGTTCAACAGAAAAACACTACATGGAGAAAAAGTGTATGTTAGAGGGAAGAGAAACAATAAAATTGATTATTCAAATATATTTACTCGGCGTTTTAATATAATATTCAAAACTCAGTATTTCACTTAACTTGGCCAAATTTTGGATAGAATTTCATTTTCAAATAAAACTAAATATGTGGAAAATCCATAGTTTCAGTCCTTACAGACGTCCAAGACATTTCACAGTTGTGGTTTTAAGATCAATTTTTTCCATTCTCATTTGAAAATCATTATGGAAACTTGACATTAGTAATACTGAAAACGACAAAGCTGAATAAAACCACTCAAATTCAAAGAACTCTTATCAGATTGGCTATCGAAAAGATTACTAATTTTTTACAATTATAACTGTAGCATAAAATATAACAGTAACGATTATAATGAACTGCATGAATGTGTGGTCAAACTGAAATTTGCGTTAAGGAATGTTGAATTGAATGAAACAATCTATTTAACTTAGTTGGTGATGGGGATTTTGGAAAAAATCTGAATATACACTTAGTGAACACTTTCAAAAAATTAATAATATCAATATTAACACGTATTCGGTACATGATAAGGTTATTAATTTTCAATCGCTCTGAAGGTGTATGCAATTTCTTAATTAATGTTATGTATTCTTCTGTAATTAAACATACGGTATCAATCTGAAACATCACTATAGATATAGTAAGTACCAGAACAAAAATAAAACAACTGAAATGAAGGTTGCTTAAAGAGTATTCAAAAAAAACCCTTCATTGTGAGTTGTTTCATTTCTGCTCTTTGTGGCACTGAATAGCATTAGTTCTGTTTCTTTTTTGAATTCGGTTGTATTGTAGATGAAACTGCAATCACTATGATAACTATGATGCACAATTTGGAATTTTAAAATTTGTAAATTTATATAATCTATTGTAAGTCGAATTTGTAAAATAAAATTTTGCTGTGAATAAAAAATTGCGTAGTTTTTTCAATTGAAAAAGATACAAGGGTTCAATTCAATGGTGATTATTACAGCTGAAATTGTCAAGTTGACATCAATTAAAAATTATATTGCATAAAAAATAATCAAAACATTTTAATGGCACCACGTATATGCGTGAACATCTAACAAATTATTCACTGTGTCCAAGATAAGAATGAACAGCATGAGGATATCGGAAACGGTAAGTGATACGGGACCGATTGAACTAAAGTAAAGTAGGGCATTTATGTGCCTAATAATATGCCATTGAAAAAGTTTTATTATTCCGAGTAGTTTTGGAGATATCTGAAAAAAAACGAAATTTGAGAATGTCGTTTTAATTTTCTCCTAGCTTCATTTTCAAAGGAAATGTAAAGCAGATAACACTTTGCCATGGCCACTTTTTTCGTCTTTTATAAAACATCATCAACTTCGTATTTTAAATGGGTCAAAACTAGAGTATACTCTGTATACGACTCCATATTTCATTGTGAATACAGCACCGTATCATCCAATATGATTTCATAACCATTTCTAGCGCCAAATGCTTTTTTTCAATTTTAGATAATAGGCGCTGTGAGAAATGACACGTAAATTTCTGTTGTCATAATAATACTGTTGTGTGGTAGAATTTTTGACATATTACGGTTCCTATTTTTACATCTCGTTAACTACCTAATTTGTATTAAAAATGGAAAACGACAGCTTTTCGAATACTGAAAAATTTGATTTTTTTTCAAGTTACATTTTGTGCCAGAGAAATTGTTGATGCTGATGCTAATAAGTATTCAGAGAGGCGATAACCTGGTAAATAAACTTTTTGACGTTTTGTTCCTAATTTAAAAGAATACGAATCGTTTAAAAAACTTGTGGTTTTCCGACATAAACAATCTAATAAAGAAAGCCAGCGTGATGTGTACATGCCTTTGTTGAAAATCCTGAGATATCCATTCGCACCATTGAACATAATACCGGAGTATCCAAATCCAGGCGGAATGTTCATTATTGGTCACAACAAAATCCGCGAGTACACAAAGTGTCCAGATATCAACATCGTTTTGATTTCAACATATGAGTTGGGATTCTCGTTACTAATGTAATTGGACCTTTCATCAACCAAAACAATTTAACAAAAGAGCGGTACATATATTTGTTTATAAATGATTTGAAAGACGCTCTAGATAATTTTCCTTTAGCGGTTATGCACAGCTGCTGTTTTCAACACGATCGATGGTGCTCCAGCACATAACCTTAGAATTGTTTGTGATTATGTATTTGAACCGTCGTTTTCTAGGACAGTGGATTGGTACGCATAGTGATACATCCTGGCCTGCAAGTTTCCTCGACCTAACTCCACTAGACTTTTTCCTATCAAATTGAAGAAGATTTGCTAAGATTCGTTAATGCATCCTTGAACAATATTGTTCCGAATATGTTAATTTAAGTTTTAAATTCGTCTGTGAGATGAGCGTATACTTGTGCTTAGAAAATAACGGCGGTTCATTTCAACACTTGTTATAAGTTTCTGTTTATTTCCTATAATACATATTAGTTCCTTGTTATTACATTACAATTACATTTTATAAACCAAACTTTTGATATCGCGACTCGACTTTGTGTTCAGCAACGCAAAAATTCCGACAAGTGGTGAGTTAAAATTTATTATTAAAAAGACTAATCAATTTAAGTACCTACTTCATGTATCAAAATTTGACATTTTTTCCAGCGCATCTAAAATTGAAGAAAAGCAGGTTAAATAATCACTTTTCATTTTGCGCGAGGTATGGTTATGATACGTGTTATACTTTGCTATATTCACAATGAAAAATGGTGTCGTATAGAAGATGTACTTGAGTTTCGGCCCATATAAAAATACAAAGATGATGTTTTCTAAAACGAAACGTCGCAGAATAATTCTGCTTACGTTTTCGTATAGTCCTTAAAAAGTAGCCATGACAAAGTGCTATTTGTTTTACATTTCCTTCGAAAATAATTTCCAGCAGTAGTTCCCCCGTTGAATTTTGATCAATAAATAGAGTTCCTACAATATGGTTTCCCAATATTCCTACCCGAACGTTAATTTTACTGGGTTTTGGGTATGTATTTCCCGGAAAACGTAAGGGTTGATGTCACTTCAATAACGGCAATTTTGTCTGTGAACATTGCCGTTTGAAAAAAATGTACATTCGTCACTAAAACAAATATTGTGTAGATAGGTAGGATGCCTTGCAATGGTTTCCGTCATTATTTCGCATAATTCCATTCTTTGATCTGGGTCATCTTCAGTTAATTGGTCTACCATTTTAATTTTGTATGGATGATACCTTATCGGGTTGTTGGATTTGCCATATGGCAGATAAAAAGGGATATTTCTAGAAATATCGATATTACTGTGTTTGTCTTCAGGAAATTATCAACTGTTCCTTTATTTTGTAGTAGGTGAAAATATTGACTGTATATTTTAGTGTTTTAGTATGAAGTATTCGTCAGGATCTTCAACCCGCCTGTGATATTTAATTTTTTTCCCCAGACGGCGTCCAGTCGCCATCTTGAAAGTTTCATTTGTCAATTTCACTTCAAAATAAAGTATTCATGCATTAATTTCATTATCCCAAATTTCAATTTTTTGAATTGACCTTTTCCAAAAATAAAAGCGGGGAAACATTAATGAAATGAACTGTATGTCTGTATTCTTTCAAAGACATTTTTTGTAGTTCTTACTGTTTTTTGAGTATATAACTTCTAAAGTGTAAAAGTTTGCTATAATTTCATTGGCTTCCAGATTCATACTCAGTTTTCTTTTCGACTATGTTTTAATAATTCATTTTTCTGTCAGGTTTGTAAACATTTTATCTGCAACAACTGATAGCTCCAATATATCAACACGATTGAAACGGATACTGCATCAACCACATTCACGAAAACAATATATGATATATCATGAAAACATAATTTTAACTGATAACACTTTTACCATGCAAATATTTATTACTGAACAAACAGTAATATCGCAATCATGAGTGAAAACGAATCACTAATCGAGTACTTCTGTACAAAATATCCCAAAGTGGTTATTAAAAAACCCATCAACCCCTCATGGTTTCCGCTACTTAATTTAGTTTTTGTGAAAAACGTTGAAAAATTAGGAGAACTGAACAGATTTCTGGAAACTATTTCAGAACCGATCAATCCAGTGAGTGAGAATATATGGGCCTTCACTAAGTTTGGCAATCCAAACGAGATAAAAGTGGTGATAGTAGGACAAGATCCTTACTTAACACCAGAGTTAGGGGATTCCATAGGCTTCAGTGTGAATAGTTCCATCAGTGATATTCCACCGTCGTTGCAGAATATTTTAGACGAGGTGTGGGAAGATGTGTCCAACTCCATGTACGCTCCATCTCTGAAAGGGTTTCCACCACAACACGGATGTCTGGAAAATTGGGCTAAGCAGGGTGTTCTCCTCTTAGATTCTGTATTAACAGTGACCCACAATGCTCCCCAGTCTCACCGAAATAGAGGCTGGGAGGAAATAGTGGGTTCGATGCTGACGGAAATACAAAATATCGCGAAAAACAGTGAAGAATTCGTTATTTTCATGTTGTGGGGAAGAGTTGCATGGCAAATGGAAAGCTATGTGGATACAAGTGGAGATAACAAGGTTCTCAAAGCAGGTCACCCTTCCCCTAATAACGAACTTGCTGATTATAGAGGGTGTAGGCATTTTACAGCAGCTAATTATATTCTTGAGCAAGCCGGAAAACAACCAGTGGACTGGTCGTTGTAGGGGAGAAAATATAAAAAATATTCGAATTACAAACCAGCACAGTTCATCTCCTAATTATACCAACTTGGTAAGTGAAACGCGAGTCGAGACAAGTGTTGAAGTGCGGGTGTGAGAGCAGTTTCGTTTTTGAGTCCAGAGTTTTCAGTTTTACCGTTCAATATGTTAACATATTCTGCAACCATAATTTTGTAACATTTTAACTTATTAAATTATTGTTTGGCTGTTGGAATATAGTTTTTAATGAACAGGAGTCGAATTTGGTGTTTCATTATTACTATAATTTCAATGAAAACTTTGTTAAAATCATAATATTCTCTCAACGTGATCGCAATTTGTTATCACTACTTACAACGATGTCTATATGAGATTAATCATCCATTATTGATGTATATTGTCTCAATTAGAGGCTAATACAATTTTCCGGAAGATACCAAACGTATCGGTCGAAGAAGTTATCAAAAAACAGTCTTGACAGAATGTTTTATTCAACAAATAATTGAGTTTGTCTGAATTTTGCTTCCAAAATTTCGAAATTATTGTACAAGTGACTCACTAGTGACTCAATTGGAATCTGTTTCCACTTTTGAATAATAGCTAGCTGATACCATAACAGAAATCAAAATAAATCTGATGATTGTACCTAGAAAGATGCATATGTATTGAGAAAATACTATGTGATGGAATTGATCCTCGGTCCAGGACTTTTTCAATTCAATTTCTTATATTTGAGCTACAAAACGTCTTTATATACATCAAAAAGGAAAAACTTTCATTCAACAAGAATCCAAACCCCAAGAAACCCCTCTCCAAAAAATATACACTCAGGATTCAAGAAAAACTACAGGCAAAACATAAAGCAAAGGTGAAACATCTGCAAGCAGAATGCCATCATTCTACGAAAACTGCAACAACTCATTCGGAAATTCCACCGTTTTGAACCTCAAGAAGATTTCAAAATCAATGAAAACCCTCGTAAAACAAAAAAATAGAAGAATATTCCTACTTAGATGCAAGGAACCCAATTTATCTCCAAAATTCTTAAATTTGAACACAACAAATGTAAAACCTAAAGGTAAGTAACTAGGCAGCAGCTTTGAAAAAATCACTGACAAATATAAACACCAAATTCTCAACTTGCTTTTTAAAGAAACAACTTTGAACATCAANACGGTTTTTATTTACAATATTTGCCAAGCTTTCGCTTTATTTTAAAGCTTCTTCAGGGCTATCTAAAATACAATTCGGTTTGAATTCAACAGAAAAAGGTTAATATTGCTACTTACAGTAAATATAAGAACACTGTATAAAATAATTGTTGTAAAAATTTTTGTCAAAAGATTGAATATAAATTGACTTAATAGTTGTCAAAATTGATATAACTTAACAATTTTGAAAAACAAATAGTTGATATTAATGGAAATATATAGTTATGTTTCATTTATAGCATAATGTCAGAGAAAATACGTGTTTGATTCAACAAATTGAAAAAAGAAATACATGATGGAACATTCCCAATGATGTTAATTACTTTTATTTATGTCTTAATGTAATATATAAGTATATATTGTACTAAGATGATTGATATCTATTCGTTTGTTCATAGTATTGGGCTCTTTCATGATTTCTACCATTTCAAAAAAAAGTCTTTTTTTGTAATTGTTTTCAATTTGTAAAATCATACTCTGTTCGTAATTTGGAAAATTAGAGATTTAGAGATCGAATTGTTCCTCATAAAAGTGACATAAGACTCAATAAAAAATCTTGTGCTTTGGCTGAGCATTGTATTACAAAAAATCATTTTCCAAATCACGAACAGAGTATGATTTTGCAAATTGAAAACAAATACAAAAAAAAACTTCTGTTGAAATGGTAGAAATCATGAAAGAGCCCAATACTATGGACAAACGAATAGATATCAATCATCTTAGTACAATATATATTTATTTATTACATTTAGACATAAATAAAAGTAAGTAACATCATTGAGAATTTTCCATTATGTATTCCCTTTTTTCAATTTGTTAAGTCAAACACGAATTTTCTCTGACATTTTGTTATAAATATACAGGGTGTTACAATGGAAAATGCGTATACGTTATTAGAACATAATGATGGAAAGTGTCATTGTTTTTCGAGTTTGAAAGCCGTGGATTTTTGGGATTTCTTCCTGACGTTTCGCTGCCGAGAGTGGCTAGCTTCTTCAGAGGTTTAACCATCATCGCTTGCTGTCTGATGACTGTCATCGGAATGAAATAATATTCATTTTCCAAAAAAATGAGTATAATAAAGATCAACGACATCTCCCTCACGAAGATACATTCTGCGAAATCAACAAGGAATTCAATCCTCGAATAAAGATAAAAGAGGCTCCCCAAAGCGGTCAGTTTCAAAGCCAAGCTCCGACATCGATCGCCGATGAGACTCGACCTCTGTCTTTCACTGCTGAAAACCAGAGCTGAAAACCAGAGCCCAAACACAACGCACTTATGATTCAACACCAGACGGCGCTGTTTTAACCCCCATCGCTTCAGTGGAGATGAGTCACTAAAGAGACCTTCATGTCCACCAATGCATTGCTAAACTAAATTGCCCTTGATGGACAGGTATGTCATCGACTTTTTTTACTCAGGTTTGTCTTTTAACGACAGTTGAGTCCAGCAACGCATTTGTTGTTCAGCCTAACACCAGTGATGAGACCTATAACAGGTCGAAACAGCGCTGTCTGGTGCTGGATTAAAAATGGGTCGTGTTTTTTGGGCTCTGATTTTCAATCAAATGAGAAAAATGTTAAAGTCATTTCTGAATGGTTAATCATTCATAGCTTCAGTTTCAACAAACTAAAGTTCATATAAACGCATCATTATCGATTAAATAGTTGGGTTAAGGTCGCCTCCAATTCGGATCTTTTGCTATCTGGTAATCATTTTCATGAAAATAATGAATACAATATTTTCTCTGTGAATGGTTGCTTTGGCTAGGTTATACTTCAAATGACGCCCTGCATTTTTATTTATGTTATTTTTTCGACATTGATGATATTTTTGCTATCCAGTTCATTATTGAATTTTGTTTTTACCAAAACTACATTCTAGAATCTCATTTTGATGTGTATGCCTTGTTCTTATACTTCAGAGTCCTGAAGATGAAATGTCGACAATTTAGTAATTGGTTTTCCACAACATTTCGACCGAATTCTTGCCAACTTGACAATCGAAATCATACGGAACAGTCGCCATCCTATTCAACTATGGAATGTTAAATTCGTTTTCAACTAAAAACCACTAATGCTTTATCCAGAGTGTGTACCATCGATTTTATGAAGAATATTGACTTTTCAGAATGAAAGTCAAATCAAAAGAAAGTTGAGGAGCTGCAAAAATTACTCACTGAAACTGAAGACACATCTATAGAACTCGAGAAATGTAAACTTCCCTATGGTGAAGATTACATTTTTGTGACACTTCACAAAAGTTTGTGCGACCTTGTGTACCTGAAGCATTCAGAAAAAATATTCAATATCTCATCCCGGAATAAGATCTACCACTAAACTGATAAGCAAGTGATATGTTTGGTCGAAAGACATTAAACATGGAGTCAGTGCTGTATTCAATGCCAAAAATCCAAAATTAGTAAACATTTGGTAAGACCAGTATGTGTTTATGAGGTACCTAAAAGTCATTTGGAGCATATTGATATCGACTTGGTTGGACTCCTTCCTTCATCAAATGGATAAACATTCTGTTTAACTTGCATAGATAGATATTCAAAATGGCCTGAAGCTTTTTCTATAACCAATATAACTGCAGAAACGGTGGCCCAGAAATTTTATGAAGAATAGATTTCTCGATTAAGAGTTCCGTTAAGAATAACTACAGACCAAGGTAGACAATTTGAATCTTCACTTTTGAAGGAGTTCTCAAAATTGCTGAGTATGCAGCATATAAGAACGACAGCTTACCACCCATCGGCTAATGGAATGATTGGGGGATTTCATCGCACAATGAAGGCAGCACTGAAGAGTTATGAAACAGAAAAGTGGACTGACCTTCTCCCTACTATTTCACTGGGAATCAGGGTTTCAGTAAAGGAACAATTGCAGTGTTCAAGTGCTGAATTGGTGTATGGAACAACCCTCAGGATGCCAGAAGAACTTATGATAGGAAGGACTGTTGCTTCCCCCACTTATCAACAGTTATCTTAGATGAAAATAAGAACAACGCCTGGAACTGATCACGATAAATGAAAAGTTTTCTTGCAAAACGAAATATCAACTTGTTCCCATGTGTTCATTAGAGTTGACAATGTTTAAAAAGTCCGTCAAAACCTTATAATGGACCATTCAGGGTGATTAACAGAGACGAAGAATATTTCACGCATTATGAAACCAGCTTTTGTTGAAGAATAGGAGGGAGAGGGAACTGGACAAAGAACTTGTGAAACACAAAGGATACAGAGAAGCACCAAAAAATGTTCATTTTGAGTGACCATCTTCACTGGAGGGGGAGTACTGTGGTGACCATTCTGACTTCTCCTGTATATATGTTCATATACCTGTCAATATATTTTATTAGAGAAAACAAGAATGCATAAGTCTATCATAATAATAATGAGTTGTTCGAAGCAAGAAATTATATCATTGTAACAATCTTCTTTCGGGATTGAAGGCTGTCGAGGTATGGAACTGTATCCTAACGTTTCGTCAGCACAAGTGGCTGGCTTCTTCAGAGGTTTGTTCATCTTGATGGCTCACCGATGACTTGTGATTTCTAGTTCGTGAGTTGTGTTTATGTTCGCTCATGTAGCCCGCCTTTCTTGTTGATGCGTTGCTATTGGCCGCAGTGTTATTACCTATTGATGACGTTACATTGCATTGCACTGTTGCCATCTTAGCATCTTTTAGTATGGGATTCTGAATCCGGTTGAGCGTTATCGCCTCTTTTCTGTTGTAGATTGTGGATTTCTATGGCTTCCCGTACAAGCCGACTGTGGTATCCATGATC